TGGTAGAGGAAGAAGACGAGGAAGATGCTGAAGCTCGAGCGAAGCCAAAGTTGACGGATTCCCGCTACATTCTTGAAGACATGGACGAATCGAAGAGAGAGGAGCCTCCACCCGCAGTACACGAAGCCCCCATGGATCAACGCTACGCATACAACCTCCACGCAACAGGCATCAAGTCAGAAGAGTCATCAAGCGCGAGTAAAGACTTCACATTTCCCTTCCACGATATACCAGGGCCACCAGCTCCACTAAGACGAGTCCGTGTGCCCAAAGCTAGAGTCACGAAACCAGGAGCTTCTGCCGTGGGCGTTTCCGTGCTATCCACCAGAGGGCGATTAGCGACAGCAAGCAACCCCGAGATCGACCTTCGCCTTGACTCCTGCGCTGTCATCACGTTGATCTCCAAAGAACTCTACTTGTCGTTGAAGAATCGGCCACCTCTTCAACAGGGCTATCAGATGCAGATTTTTCAACTGACTGAGACAGGTACTCACATTAAAGGCTTCGTGCGTATCCCAGTAATCATGGAATCCACGGATGGCACCCTTGGCTGTAGGCCTATGCCTTATTCCCTGGGATAATGCAGTTTTCCCTATTACTCAGGGAGTGCCTGCACCCAGCTGGGTCTATGCAGGTCATTCTGGTTTCTCATTTTACTGTATTTAGTTGAAATTAGTCTCCCCTTCTGGAATACAGATAATATTTTGTCCTTTCCGTTGTTTTTTTATGCTCCTGTTATTCCAGCATCAGTGGAAATTGATGGATTCATCTTGTATGTCGTGGCCTTAGAAGCAAACAATATCAAACAATCTCCCATTTTGGAGCTCTGATGGTTTTTCGAATCTCCCACTTGTTCCTCCACTATAGAAGTTGAATAAAATATATCAGATATATGTTGACATATTAATGCTTGTTCTTGAACACTTTCCGCCTCCGTCGGGGGGAAGTGATTGATGGATTGGAGGACCAGACCTTGGATGTCATAGCCTTAGAAATAAACAACTGTAAATAACAAGATATATTCAATGGGGACCAAAAAAACACTAATCCTCGTCGCATTCCGCCAGGGATTCAAGCACAGGGTCAATGCCACACCCAGGGCCTTCATTGGCTTCATCCGCGCTCACTATAGGCGTCCACGGCGTGTCCCACAGGCGTGTAAACTGTGCGTGCAGGGCTCTCTGGATGCTCGCCTGCCGGCTTGCATACGCCCTTACTCCCTCCCCCATTGGCTTATCCAAAGCTTGCCAGCCAGGCTGCCGAGCATCCCACCACGATGCTTTCCACTCCAGGGTTTTCCGAACCCTCCGCATCTCTTCCTTGAGCAAGTGGACTTCTTCTGTCCAGCGCAAGCACCGTGCACGGGCTTTGGCCCATTCAATCCGCACCGCTGGCAATTAATCAGCGGTTGTAAATCCTGTCGTATTGACGGCTGCTTACCTTCATGAAGCACGGCATCGTCATCATCGCCAACCGCCCCTACCGTAGTCCAGATCCATGAAACAGTCTTCTTTCCTTGCCCCAAATCCAGCCGCTCTGCCTTTCGCTTC